AAATAGAAGTACAGAGTCTTTTCATCCCCTTGTTCATGAGTCTTGTGTTTGTGGTTTGTGGCTCTCTGGGCTCATCTGCCTGGTGAGGAGGGAGTGGAAAATCCAGCAGCTCTATCAGATGTATCAGATGGATTCAGCCCCCCGCCAGCTGTGAAGGGGTTAAGAGGCTGGGCCAGCTACCTCAGCCAGCCCCTCCCAGGGATTAAGAGTTCTCTATAAAGGGGACTGTCCACCAAGGCCAGGCCAGGGGGGCATCAGGGACCCAGGGACTGTGCCCATCCCCCCTGCCATGTGGGAACTTCGGTCTGCCTCCTTCTGGAGGGCCATATTTGCTGAGTTCTTTGCTACCCTCTTCTATGTCTTCTTTGGGCTCGGGGCCTCATTGCGCTGGGCCCCTGGACCCCTGCATGTCCTGCAGGTGGCTTTGGCCTTTGGCTTGGCCCTAGCTACATTGGTGCAGACAGTGGGCCACATCAGTGGAGCCCATGTCAACCCTGCAGTCACTTTTGCCTTCCTTGTGGGCTCCCAGATGTCCCTGCTCCGAGCCTTCTGCTATATGGCAGCCCAGCTCCTGGGAGCTGTGGCTGGGGCTGCTGTGCTGTATAGTGTTACCCCGCCTGCCTTCCGAGGAAACCTAGCACTCAACACGGTAATGGTTGGCTGAGGGGGTGGGGGAACCCGCTGACCTGCCCTCTGTTTCCCTGACTCTCTGCCTGGTGCAGTATGTGTGTGTGTGCGCACATGTGACTGCATGTACATGCATGCCTGTGCATGTGTAAGTGTGTGTTTGAAGGTGAGGAAGATCAACAGGCAACTTGGAGGGGTAAGGAAACCATAGAGGGCTAGACTAAGAATCAGGAAAACTGAGTTTGGATTCCAGCTTTCCTTCCAACTCCTTTCAGGTTCTTAAGGAAACTGAATTACAGAACCTCAATTTCTTCTTCATTTAAGTGGGTACAATCACTTCTACCACAAAAGAGTACTGTTAGGAGAAATTAAGATACAATTATAATTACCGAGAAGGGGGTTGTGTGTGTATCCTTCCTCTCTGAGGAACTGAGGCCATAAGGGAATCCCTGCCTGGCCTGGGAAGCCTTACAGAGGTACTGCCGTGGCAGCGCTATTGAGCTGCCTCATTCTTCTTCCTTTGCCCAGTTGCATGCTGGGGTGAGTGTGGGCCAGGCCACCACAGTGGAGATATTCTTGACACTCCAGTTCGTGCTCTGCATCTTTGCCACATACGACAAGAGGCGAAATGGCCACCTGGGCTCCGTAGCTCTGGCTGTTGGCTTCTCCCTCTCCCTGGGGCACCTCTTTGGGGTAAGTAGTACAGAGGAGCAACTTTCCACTCAAGGATTCAAGGGCCCTAAAACCTTCAACTTTTAAGGGTTCTTCCTGCCCACTCCACTGTCAAATATAACTGCTCTCCACCTCTCTGTCATCAGTAGGCAGAAAGGACTTAACACTGCAGTATCCCTCTCTTGTAATTACTATATTTAGTCCCTGGCCTGAAGGTAGAAATTCATGCATCATAAGTAGGATTGGGATTTGCCTATGAGACCATTATCTGCATCACTACGGTCGTGCAGGTTGTCCTCTACTTGCCACTGGCTGGAGACGCATTATCAGCTCTCAGGGCCATGTGAGCTAGGATGGTGCAAGGTGTGGGGGTTTCTCAGTTACAATGTCTTTTTCTCTTGATTTTTTTTCATTGTTGTTGTTGAGACAGGGTCTTGCCATGTAGTTTAGGCTGGCCTTGAACTCACCGTGTAGCCCAGGCTGGTCTCGAACTCCTAGCAATCCTTTTGCCTCAGCCTCCCAAGAGCTGAGGTTATAGGTGTGCCACCACTCCTGGCTTACAACTGTGTCTCTTGCAGGTATATTATACTGGTGCAGGCATGAATCCTGCCCGCTCCTTTGCTCCTGCAATTCTTACCCGGAACTTCACCAACCACTGGGTGAGTGAGGGGAAAGGGGCAAGATCTTAGAGGCCTTCTGGATGGGGCTGAACTGCAGGTTTCATGTTTGGTTCCTTTCCTTTTGGATGTATTGGCTGCCCTTCCAGCACTCATATAAGAGGGCTGTCGGAGAGCATGGTATACCTTTGTGAACAGTTTGCATTATTTTGCTAGAAAGAGAGGGTCTTAGCTGGATGTCATGATACATGCCTGTGGTTCCAGCACTCAGGAGGATGAGGTGTGAGGAACACCTGAGCCCAGAAGTTCAAGCTCAGCCCTGACAACATGGTGAAATCTCCTATTATGAAAGCAAGCAAGCAACCAAGCTGGGTATGGTGGCACATGCCTGTGATCCCAGCACTTGGGAGGCTGAGGCAGGATGATTGCCTTGAGTTCAGGGCCAGTATGGGCTACATACTGAATTCAAGACCAGCCTGGACTCTATAGCAAGACTCTGCCTCAAAAAACTAAAATAAATAAATAAATAAACTCCTATATAATTTCATATATGTGAGGCACTTGAATTCACAGAAACAGAAGATAGAAGGGTGGTTGGTTGCCAGAGGGTGGGATACAGGGTGAATAGGGAGTTGTTTAATGGTTTTGAAGTTTCAGTTTTAAAAAGTGAAAAAAATTTTGCAAATGAGCTGTACAACTATGTGAATATACTTAACGCTATGGAACTGCATACTTAAAAGTGTTTAATAAGGTAAATTTTATGTTATAAATTATATTTTACTATCCCAAAATATTTTCAGAGAAATAAACTATTGCAAACTGATGACAAATAGAATATATATGTGCTAGAAGGTATGGGATAGAGTACTAACAATAAATCAGAAAAGAAATGCTGAGTTTGGAAGTACAGACAGTGGAGTTTAAAAACATAACCTGGGAGGGCCGGCGATTTAGCTCAGTGGTTCCATCGCCTGCCTCACAAGTACAAGGTCCCGAGTTCGATCTCTGGTACCAAAAAAAACCAAACAAAAAAACCACAACATAACCTGGGGTTGGAGCTCAATGATAGAGCATGTGCTTAGCATGTGTGAGCCTCCAGGTTTAATAGGTATCACTACGCAAATAAACAAAACCCCAGGATGATTTCTACTTAGACAATGCTCTGTTGCATATGAAAACTACACATTGTCTTGATTTCCACTGAGGGGGTTAGCAAAAGACCAGCAGCCTGGTTCGTTGCTCAGTACCTTCCCTGAGCCTGAGTGTTCCTTTTCTCTTCCCACAGGTGTACTGGGTGGGCCCCATCATTGGAGGGGGTCTGGGCAGCCTTCTCTATGACTTTCTGCTCTTCCCCCGGCTCAAGAGTGTTTCTGAGAGACTGTCTATCCTCAAGGGTGCCAGACCCAGTGACTCCAATGGACAACCAGAGGGGACAGGGGAACCTGTTGAACTGAAGACCCAGGCCCTGTAAAAGTTCCAGCTGGAGAGGGGGAGTAGAAAGCTTCTGGGTTTCTGTGGAGGGCCTGAGCCAGTCCCTGGATGATGAATGAGACTGTGGGGAGGGGCATGTACGTCTTTATTTTTTAACTTATGTGTGTTTTCCCCCTCTTTTGCTGTGTGAAATCTTTCGAGTTGCATTCATGAGCTGGTTGGTGCCAACCTCCCTTCCACCCCATCCCACCTTCCTTTGCCGTGTGTGCAAGATTGTGCGTATGAACATGGGTGAGTGTGGCTATGTCTGAGTTTTGGGACACAGGAGCTGGGGAAAGGAAAAGAGGTGTCAAAATATATGTCCGTCCTCCAGCCCAGTGCGGTGAGCACAGGGAACCTTAGGGTTAGGGTTCTGGCCTTTACCTGGCTTCTATTCAAGTTTATGGCTCTTGATTTCTGAGGGAGCAGGGGGATAGGGAGTTACTCCTCCCAGAACGCAGATGGAGAGAAGTAGAGAAGACAAAGCATTCCAAGGTTTGGGAGAAGGCTCTCAAGGAAGGTGGGGTGGGCTGGAGGGAGGTGGAGGAATTAGCCCCAGAACATGCAAGTATACCTAAAAGTTTTGGGGGAGTTAATGGGAGAATACAGCCTACTTATCTCAGGGATGTTTGTCCCAGGGACTTGGGTGGGAAAGTAGCTCTGAGAAAAGTGAACACTGGGATTTGAGCTGTTGTGTAAAGCCACATAAACCTGTCTACATCCACTGGCTGGGTTGTCTGTTCGTTCTGGTATAATGGATCTCTAGGAGGCCCTGGGACAGGGAGCTCCCAACCTAAATAGGAGGTGGGTGAACCTAGAATCTAGAAATTTAAGCAGCTTTATATCCCCTGTAGATGACATTTAAACCCCAGAGTTGCTCCCAAGGGTTAAGCCAGGAAATCTAACTCCTGGCACAAATTTAGCAGAAGGAATAGGGGGCAAAGAGGCTTTGACTTAACTTATTTAGAGCAAATACAGGCACTTTCCAAATGACATGTCATCTTTTATCACTAGCTCTAGTCTTTTTATATGTCTTTTCACTTTTCTCTCATCTGACCTTTCATTTCACAGCAAACCTCTGCTAACTCTCCCTAATACCTCAGAAATTGATTTCTTCTATCCAAATGCTTAGTAATTCGGTGATGATTCTTTGGAGCCCTATCTTCTTTTATTGTTGGCAAAATACACCACTTCAGCAGAGACGGGAGGAGACCCTCAACTGAACAATGAGTATTTATTTATCTCTTCCTTTTATGAGCCTCCTGCACACTTCACAAGCTTTAAACTGATATCTACAGTATGAAACAACCCGAACTTCTACCAATACCTCAGCTCTCCACTTCCTCCCAAATAAAACTTTTCTAACTAACCATTTAAGGCTCTGGAATAGTCCACTTTACTAGGAGAAATTCGCCTTTAATCGGAATTTGTTTCCTCTTATAATCCAACAGAAAATTCTTAGTGCTGTGACATTTAGTTCACTGTAGGGCATCGACTCCGATAAAACAGTCCTTGTAATCGCTTCCGTTTTCCATACCTCATAGCCAACACCACACACACACACACCCACGCTCGCTCAGAGTTAAGTGGACCAGCCTGACTCGCCCCGCCCCGCTTCCCGCGCAGGCGGGGAGTGGTTTCTCCGAGCCGGTGGCGGGAACAGCTGTAGAGCTGCGCCTGAGGGTTGCTGGCTCCGTGGGGCTCCGGAGCACCCGCGGTGAGTGGATGAGAGAGTGTGGTCACAGGGATGTGGGTGAACTCATGTCCCCCGGAACTACGGGAGATAGCGTGAGTCGCGTGGAGCACGCGTTCCCTCCCCCTGGTTGAAAGGCAGGGGGGCGGGGCGGCGCTCTGCACGCGTATGCGCAGCGCCGTTCCGGGTGCGGTGGCTGCTTGGTCCTGGCGGACCCGCTGTGCGCACCTGTGAAGGCTGGGGACTAGGACCCTCAAAAGTACAGCAGGCAGTTCCGAGGGATTTCCACTTCGCAGCTGCCCATTCAGTTCAGATCTGGAAAAAAAAACCAAACCCACAGATGTGCAGCTTGTGGATATCAGGGGTCAGAATTCACAGGCCGCTTGATTTAAATTTTGGGTTTTTATAGAACACATGCCACCCTTCGGGTTTGTCAGCTAGATCTTGAGTCTCAGTTCTTTTTGTTTGTTTGTTTTTTGAGACAGGGTCTCACTTTGTAGTGCAGGTTGGCCTTGAGCTCACTGTGTAGCCTAGGCTGGCCTAGAATTCACGGCGACCCTCCTGCCTCAGCCTCCAGAGTGCTGGCGTTACAGGCGTGCGCCACCATGCCCAGAGTCTCAGTTCTTTACTCTGCTTTTGGTACTTTTAAAAAAGTTAAGCCGACTGTTTTATGTTAACTTTAAAACTCCATTTTGGCGAGGATATAGCTCAGTGGTAGAGCCTTGCCTAGCGTGCGTAAAGCCCCCACCTTTGATCCCCAGCACTACAAGGGGAAAAAAATAAATAAAAGCATCCCTTAAAAAAAATTAGCCCAGTAGTGCCGCCGCCTGCCTCGCAAGCGCAAGGTCCTGAGATCGATCTCCTGTACAAATAAATAATTAATATTTAATTAAAAAAATAATAATTAAAAAAATTTTTTAAACTCCATTTTGCCACCTGCCTCGCAAGCACAATGTCCTGAGTTCGATCCCCAGTACAAAAAAAAAAAAGCGCAAGGTCCCGAGTTCAATCCCCGGCACACAAAAAAAAAACAAACCCAAAAAACCCCTCCATTTTGGCCACACAAAGTCAGACTTCTTAGGTGGACAACTGTGGCCTTTCACAAGTCTGGCCCTGACCCTTTAAGTCTCAAAATCCCTGATTTTTTTTCTCATCTTTTCCACTTAAATCTCAGCCTCAGGAAAAGGATGTGTTTCCTTTGTGCTTTTTCATATCTCAGTATCTGAGGTCCTTTTATTACTTCTACTTGGAAGTTCTTCTTTTGTTTGTTTTTGTGTTTTTGAGACGGGGTCTTGCTAAATAGTTTAGGCTGACCTTGAACTCAATAGGTAGCCCTGGCCAGTCTCTTGTGGTAATCGTGCCTCAGTCTCCTGACAGCTGGGATTACAGGCTTCGGCCACCATATCCAGCCTGCTTAGAAGTTCTTGTCATTTGTTTGCTAGATGAACTTGTCTTTGAGGACTGTGTTTAATGGTCACTCTAAAATTAAATTTATCGGTCCTCCTAGGCCAAGCTGATCACTTTCTCTTTTGTAGCCCTGAAATATTGAACCCTCCTCTATTATCATTGACACTCAACATTTAATAAAAAGTTATAGAGCTCCTCCTGTATACCACACACTAAGCTCAGTGCCAAGTGTACAGAGATGAGTAGGACAAAGTTTCTGTCCTTGAGGAATTCACAATGTAGTAGTAAAAACATATAAATGAGACTTCTGCAGTTACAGTGACAGGATGATAAACAAGTTCTCCCTGACTCTTATTCCTCTTGCTCTTCATTTGCACGCATACCCTGCCACCTCTAAATCTCCAGCCCCAGCCTCTCCCTCAACCATTAGACTTGTCTCCTCCAGTTTGGTCATGCATTTATTGAGCACCTACATTATGCTGGTTACGATGATTCCTGAGCTTGAGAAGTTTATATTTTAGTACAAGTATTAACAGGGGATTGCATTTAGAATCATCCGAGGGGCATTTTCAAAACACTTTGCCCAAGGGCCAGGGATGTAGCTCAGTGGTGCCGAGCCTACCTAGCAAGTGCAAGGTCCTGAGTTTCCCAGTACCAAAAAAAAAAAACTGCCCAAGCGCTGCCTGCTAGAAATTTTATCCAGTAACCAGGCTTTCAAAATTCAAAGATCTGGGCCAGGGATTTAGCTCAGTGGTTTCGCCGCCTGCTGCGCAAGCACAAGGACCCGAGTTCGACCCTGGTACCAAAAAAAAAAAAAAAGAAACAAAATTCAAAGATCTATATAAAAAAAATTCTTATTCTCAGGCAATCAGTCTAAAGGAGACCATAGACTCTAGGTAGATGAGAGAAGGGCATTCTGGACAGAAGTGGTTTGAGCAAGCTTGAAAGATAACAGTAGGCAGATCATAAAGGATTTTGTATTGTGGGTGTTGGGGGGGCATCAAACTTTGATTTTGTGTGGTATTGTACATTAATGGCAAACAATTCAAATAGTATCAAAGTGGAAGATAAGTATTTTTTTGCCCTCAAGTCCCCAAGTCCCCAGTTCTCTCCAGAGGCATCACTATGGCATTTCTTTCTTTTCTTTCTTTTTTTTTTTTTTTTTGAGACAGCATCTCTTTCTCTTACAAAGATTGCCTTTAAACTCCTGGGCTCAAGGAGTCCTCCTACCTTAGCCTCCTTGAATAGGTAGGACTACAGACTTGCATTACCACATCCAGCTGAAATTTCTTATGTATCCACTTAAGGTTTTTATTTGGTTGGTATTGGGTTGAACCCAAGGCCTCATAACTGCTAACTACATGCTCTACCACTGAACTATAGCTACATCTCATTTGAAGTGCTTTACACAGGGCGCTTGTATGGCCAAAGCAGGTAACTATATTGTGGCTAGATTTAAAGGAACAAGATTGGAGAGGGAAGGAGATTAGGAAACAGTTGAATAATCTAACCAAAACACTCAAGACCTGAACTAAGGCGGTTAGCAGTGGGGATAGAAGAGGCAGATGAGTTTAAGGACATTAAGGGAGATGGACATATCTAAGATGACTCCTAGGTTTCTTCTGATTGAACAACTTAGATGTATCAGTGCTTGAGAGATCCAAAACAAAAGTAGAGACAAACTTAGAGGGACAGTGAGTTCAGTTTTGCTCATATTGTGTGTGAGATGAAGGATATTCTTCATTGCTCAGTTTAACAAGTGGGATTGGTACCTTGGGAGTTCAGAAGGACCCAAGATACAGATTTGCTGGCTTGGATGATGGTTAAAGTGGGAGAGTAGATGGCTTGCTCAAGGAGACTGTGTAGAGTGTAATGAGAAGAAGACTAAAGATGCGGGGCAAGGGAACATCAGCATTTAAGGGGAACAGGAGGAATAGCCAATGCAAGACAAGAGAAAGTTTTATTTCATGTTGGATTTTTTTTTTCTCTTTTAACATGTGTTGAGCAACTCATAGTATATGGAGATGGGGATGGTATAAAGGGAAAGTTGGAAATAAATGAGAAACAACCAAGGGACAGGAAGTAATTAATCAAGATTACAAAAAAAAGATTACAAACAGCTGGTGGTGCACACCTGTAGTCCCAGCACTTAGGCTGAGTCAGGAGGATCTCTGAGTTCAAGACCAGCCTAGGCAACATAGTGAGACCCTGTCTCCAAAAAAAAAAGATTACAGAGGGCTTAGATTAGAAGCAAACAGGTGCACATTTGAAAATGTATATTTTTAGTCTTCAGTGGAGGGAGTTGTGAGAATCCATGTTTCGTCACTGAATTGCTCTCAAGAGGAAAGGGGCAGAGACACCAGCTGAGAGGTGTGGGAAGCAGCGCGGTAAAGGGGTTTGAGAATAATGGGGGAAGTTAGAAACAGCTGCTCCCTGGGGAAGAGAAGAGGAAGTGAACTAGGCGAGGCTCTGCTCAGGTTGGAGGCTACACATTTGTTGTACTATATCTTTTTTTTTTTTTAGCAGTACTAGGAATCGAACTCAGGACCTTGCACTTTTGAGGCAGGTGCGGCACCTGAGCTAAATCCCCGGCCTAGTTGTACTGTATCTTTACCCAAGGTGGTTTGGTTTTCTCCAGCAAATCTGAGTCTAGGTTAGGGTCAAAGAGTCTGGAAAGCAGGTGGTTGCACTGATCTGAGCACTGATGGTTGCAGAGTATATGCAGCGAAAGAGTCAAGACCATGCAGAAGAGTTGCTGAACTGATAATACAGTGATAAGATTGAGGGATTCGTGCACTGCCAGTGTGCTCATCTTGTTTCCCAGCTCAGAAATTTTCTTTGGCTGCCTGGTTTATGTTCTGAATTCTTGAATGGATGGATAAAGGCAAGATTTTTTCATAAGCTGGGTTTTAACCCCATTTCCCTTGATTTCCTGTTAAGACTGCTGTATCCACAGCGGCTCTCCTTTTGCTTTGCTCTGGGGTGTCACGTGAATCACCCTCCTCTTCCCCACTGCCTGAATCCTGTGCTGCAGACTTTATAATTTATAAGCCCAATTCTAACCGCTTTTACTTACAAAACATCCTTTGTCACTTTCAGCTGAAAAGAGCCCTAGTTGATTTTTCTCCCATATCACTTACTTAGAGGTTATACTGTCTCTTACTTTAATTTTTTAAATTTTATTTATTTATTTATTTATTTATTTGGTACGGGGATTGAATTTAGGACCTTGCACTTGCAAGGCAGGCACAGTGCCACTAAACTAAATCCTCAGCCCTTCTCTTTTTTTATTAATGTCCTAAAGTTCTATACTTTATCCTGAGACTTTTATCAGTGGTCTATGCTTTAGTAGAATAAAAATTAAAACTAAAGCCTGAATTTACAGGAAAAAACTTTAATTGGAAAGTAAGAAAAATGGTAAGGGACTTTAGCTTGAGCAGCTGACAAAGATCAGGCTGGCATTTAACTAAGAAGAGTAAGAAAAAAAGTAAGCAGCTGAGGATGTAGCCCAGGGGCACAGTGTCTGCCTGGTAAGTGCAAGGCCCTGAGTTCGATTCCTGGTGTCAGGAAAAAAAACAGCTGAGAAAAAAATAGGCAAGAACTCCAGCTTGAGGAGTTAGAGAGGCCCCTCTGATGAAGGGGATCCTCCTGGCCCACCACAGAACCAGGAGGCCAGTTCTTAGTCACTGAATTGGGCCAGCATCCCATTATAAGCTCAGGTTGAATCCTAGTTACTTACAGGGCGCTGTAGTTTCCATGAGAGGAATCCTCGTGACTGGAAAGACATATTGGTACCGTGGGAGGAGCCCTTATGACCTGAGCAACATTTCCAGTTGTGTGAGGCTCTGCACAAATCCAAGGAGACTGTCCATTTAGGCCAATAGAGACTTCTGGGAGTAGGTGTCGTTGGTCTTGAAAGGCAGTGAGGTAGACCAGGTAGATTTAGAGCTAACAGACATATTAAATGACTAACATGTCTACGTGCAGAGCTGAAAAGGATTTGACCTAAAGTTTCACAAAATGAAGGTCAGGCTTTGTTCTGCTTTTACTTAACCTATTGGGCATTTGTAGGTCCAAGTGAGAGTCATGGTTTAAATCTCTGACTGCCTCAGAAGAAAACACAAATCATGCTCTTTATGAGTAAAAGGTTAGGGCCCAGGAGTTTGTTCCTATAGTGGTCTCTGTGTCATGACTATGTTATTTTGTCCATAAGTCTTTTTGGTTTAAAAATAGTGAAAGCAGTATATAGTAATTGTGCAGTGGTGTTTACAACAGTATATAGAAATTTTATAGTATGTGCTGTGCAAGGGCACATTGCAGAGGACAATGATGAAGGCAGTAAAATAATTTACCAATACGAAAGTAAAGGGGCCGGGGGTTTAGCTCAGTGGTTCTGGCGCCTGCCTTGCAAGCTCATGGTCCCAAGTTCAATCCCCGGTACCAAAAAAAAAGAAAGTAAAGACAGGAATTTATTTAGATAGAGTACACTATCAAAAGGGACAGCAGGTGAGTTTCCAAGAGAGGAATCACCCCATCAGAGTGAGAGACTGAGGCATTTATAAGGGATTGAAGACATGGGAAAGGGTCTGAGTTAGTTAGATACCTCATAAATGCCTTTTCTGGAAGTGTTTAGTTCCTTGTTAATCTCCCAGGAGTACCTGCATTGTAGCTATTGTTGTTGTTGTTGTTGTTATTCTGGTTTTTTGAGGCAAGGTCTCACTATGTAGTTCAGGTCACTATGTAGCCCAGGCCAGCCTCAGACTTGCATCAGTCCTCCTGCCTCAGCCTCCCACATGCTGGAATTATAGGCCTGTACCACACCAGGAAATCTGCATTATATCTAAAGTTGTGCATCAAAAGGTGAAAATTGACAAGATGATTTACTTTGATCTCACAGAAAGGCCTTTCCACACTAAAAGAAAAGTTTATTTTTGTCTCATGCTGTTGGTCAGTGTTAGTGCATTATCTATGACTGCTTAGTAATGCTGCTCAAGGTTACTTGGAGGAGGGGGCTGCTGAAGGTTTTGTTGCTAATGAACAATATACACCTATGTATTGCTGAGTAATGTGCTTATGTTCAATAGCTTGAGGAACTACTAAACTGTGTTGTGTAGCATCTGTACCACTGTATAGTTCTACCAGCAATATACAAGGTATGTGTGGTTTTCTTTTTTTTAAGGAATTCCTATGTTATAGGGCTGGGAATTTAACTAAGGCGTAGGGCTTACCTAGTGTGTGCAAGGCCCTGAATTGATTCCAAGTACCACCACTCCCCCAAAAAACTTTTCATGAAATTCAGAAGTTTTAGAACCACTGCCTTACACCAGTCTGTATTTAAAAACAAAAGTAAATAAAACAAAACAAAAAACTGTCCAGGAGTTTATCACTAAACAGAAAATTTCTTTCTTTCTTTTCTGTATATCCTTTGGCCAGCCAGAGTCATTCCTTTTCTGTTTCACCTGTGTTGTGGGTGAAAAGAAGCAGCATAGGGGAATTACTTTCAAAGCAGAAAACTCAGGAAGTAGGATGAAGTGCTGTGACTAAAACGAGAAATTATAGGCTTGTGTATATCTGTTTGGTCCTTGGTGCCTGGAAATGGCACACATGGTTTCTCATTTTCCCTCGGTGGGAGGAAAGGATTTGGTGGGCTATCTATAATGAGACCCCACTCTCTTGTCTATGCACCAGGATGAACCTTGAAGTTAACAGAAATATAAGACTCTGGACTATTTCAAAACTCACACATGAAGGGCCAGGGATGTAGCTCAGTGGTGCCCCACTTGCCTAGCAAGCACAAGGTCCTGAGTTTGATCCCTGGTACTGGAAAAAAAAAATTACAAAACTCATACATGAGATAAAAGAAAAGCCACAAAGATGAAGGACCTGGAGAAGAAGACTAAGAGACTGTAGGTCTTGAAGAAAGGGAAAAGGCTTCTGTGTCTCAGTGGGTAGAAACAGTGAATTAATTCTCAGATAGGCAGACTCTCTGCCCCATTAATTCTCTAGGAAAGTATTCCTATGAGATGGCAAAGAAAATCTGGGGCCACCACAATGGCAATGGCGACCTTTCCTGTTTTGTTTTTTTTGCGGTACCAGGGATCAAACTCAGGACCTAGCACATGTGAGGCAGGTGCAGTGCCACCGAGCTAAATCCCAGAAAGGAAGCTCTTTTATCCCAGACCCAGTGAATGGACCAAGGCTGCAAGAGATGGAGGCGTAGGGATGTGGGGAGGGTTGGCCTGGAAAATAGGTGATCTGACCCATTTCTTCCTCTATGTTGCCTGTTGTTTTGCTCAGAACTGCAGCAGATTAGACCCGGAAGTCCTGGCTCTCTTACATAATCTCTTGCCTTCTGCCACCTGCCAACACTCCTTCTTTCCTATCTTTTCCCTTTTCCCTCCACCTATTAGTTTGGTAACTAGGAATGGTGACTGTTACTACCTGTGTTATTTTTTCATTTCAGTAAAGTGGTGTGGTAAAGGCAGAAGTTTGAATGCTCTGCTGGGACCATTTTTACAAAGTATTGCATCCTGATTTAAACAGGTCTACTGTGAAGGACCAAAATAAACGGGGAGGGTGACTGGAAGGACTGTGAGGTTACTGTTTGTCTCTGCTGTTAGAAGACTGTCATTTCACACTTTCCATGCCACAGTGTGATGCCTGCCTTATTTTGAGGAGAATGTGTTGACTTTTTTTTTTAACTTGAATTTTTTACAGCTGCTTAGTTTGTTTGTTTTGTAGTACTGAGGATTGAACCCAGAGCATCACACATGCTAGGTAAGCAAGGACTTCACCACTGAGCTACATCTCCAGCTTTGCTCTTTTTTTTTTTTAGCTTCCACTTGGACAGTAGACAGGGAAACCCTTCAGTTTGGGTGTGCCTGTGTGTGTATGAGTGTGTGTACATGTACACTGGTGACCTCTGAAAAAGCTGGATGCATCTTTGAGGAGAGTCAAGGATCTCCTACTCTGAACCTTTTCACCAGAATCTACATCTCAGGGTCTGCAGAGCCGAGAAAGTACAGCAAAAAAGAAGTCTCCTTTCAGCTGCTGGTCACTCAGTGAGTGTTTTACCAGCTCCTTGTATTGCTGGGCTGAGCAGTCAGAAAGTAGGTTAGTACTGGGTGGGGGTGGAGGGATAGCAGGCAACACGAAGAAGTAGAACAGTTACATAAATGCAGGGAGATAACAACAGGCATTAAACCTTAGTGCTTTAGAGACTCAGTGTCCATTTCCTGCAGAGAAACACAAGTGGAGTGAAGGTCTGGAGGTAGGTGTGGGAGCCAGGAAAGGTCTTTTTAGAGGATCCCACTAAAGGCAAGGAGGAGAGCAGCTGAAGGTGCCTGGGGTGGAATTGATGAACATTCCAGATTTTCCCCAGGAGCAGAGTAAAGAATATAATGTATTTGTGTGCATTTGCACTATCAGCGTCAACTTCTGAGATGTTCAGGATTCTGGGTGTGTCCCTACTTGGTTACCTGACAAGGCTTAGGAATCTGAATAAAAAGGGATATGCTTCAGAAAAAAGATGGTTCTTCTGGAGAGTGACAGGGAGTTTATTAGTACCTATTACTCCTTTCCTTCCCATTCTGATTTCCACTGAGATTACCAAGGGTTAAGAGTAACTTTGGGAGGGCTGGGGATTTAGCTCAGTGGTTCCACCGCCTGCCTCGAAAGCACAAGGTCCTGAGTTTGATTCCCGGTACCAAAAAAACAAAGAGTAACTTTGACAGGAGAGTGAAGAAGCTTTATCTCCACATCAATTCCTTAAAAGCCCCAGGGATTCTAACGTGTGTCAGATCTTAAATATAATCATTGTGTGGTTGGAGCTGTACTTTTAATTCCTGTGGTTCAACATCAGCTGTGACTGTGTGGAAGAGCCACTGAAGGAAGAAGGCACTGGGTATGACCATTTGGAGGGAGTGGTCAGCTTCTGCCTCCCTCCCAAGGCTACAGCGCTCCCTAAGGGTGAAAGTTTCAGAGTTTATGCTCTTTTCTAGCCAACCATTCTTTCTACCAGGTGGTTGTTTTTACTCTGAAACAGGCTGTTTCTACATGTTCAGACCCAGGTTAGAATATGAGAATGTGTTTTAATTCATAGGCTGGAACCTCTTTGATTTTATAAGTAGAAGTCTAAGAGCCGGGGGCTTAGCTCAGTGGTTTCTCCGCCTGCCTCACAAGCGCAAAGTCCCGATTTCAATCCTTGGTGCAAAAAAAAAAAAAAAAAAGTATGTAAGTAGAAGTCTGGGTGGGTGGGGGTGTTACTAGATGGTACAGTACTTGCCTAGTCTAAGTATATTGAAAGAAAGGGGAGGGGGAAAAAGAAAAAAAAAGGGCTTTTCCTGGCATTGGCAGGAGCAATTTGGGTTCTGACTCAAGTGAAGCATTTGACGATCTTGCTCAGAATATTTTGAGCATTAGCACCTTGTCCTGTTCCTCTCACCTTTTCACAGAGTGGCCTCTGTATACATCTTTCCCTGTCTCTGCAGGTCTCATCATTTTGTCTCCACAGTCTCCATCTTCTTTCTCTGCTGGCTGGTCCTCTGGTGTATGGACTTGTACATGATGAACTGTGAACTTCTAGCCACATGTAGTGCCCTTGGGTACTTGGAGGGAGACACTTACCACAAGGAACCAGATTGCTTAGGTGAGTACTTTTTTGAAGAATCAGGTAAAAATCTTGGTGGAATTGAAGAGGTCTGTCAAATTTCTCAAACTCTAGGTATAAAAAGCATGGGGCCGGGGATTTAGCTCAGTGGTGCCGCTACCTGCCTCGCCAGCACAAGGTCCCGAGTTCAATCCCCGGTACCAAAAAAAAAAAGCATGTGGACTTGGGTGGAGCTTCTTCCAGGATTTCATGTACATGTTTTGTTCTTTCTTTCTTTTTATTTTTTTCATGTTTTGTTCTTTCTCTGAAGAGAGTGTGAAGGATTTGATCCGCTACTTGAGGCATGAGGATGAGACTCGAGATGTGCGGCAGCAGCTGGGAGCAGCCCAGATCCTGCAGAGTGACCTTCTACCCATCCTTACGCAGCACCGCCAGGACAAGCCTCTCTTTGATGCTGTCATCAGGTTCATTCCCAGCTTTTTGATTTTTACCACATGCCAACATTTGATAGTTACCAGTCTTTTTTTTTTTGGTACTGGGAATTGAACTCAGGACCTTGTGCTCGCCAGGCAGGCACAGTGCCACTGAGCTACATCCCCGGCCCTAATGCCAGCATTTGTGTTTGTGCCGATAGCATTTGGTGTTTGTGCCTGGCAAGAAAACCTTACATCTCCCTCCTTTGTTGTTTCCCCAGACTGATGGTGAACTTGACACAACCAGCCTTGCTGTGTTTTGGCAGTGTACCTAAGGAGCCCAGCATGCGGCACCACTTTCTACAGGTGCTTGCTTATCTGCAGGCCTACAAGGAGGTGAGGCCTTGCTTTTGAGTCCCTGGGGTAGAGTTTGGGCAGTGAGGGGAAGTGGATGGATGCTATGTAAGAGCCATTTCCTGTTTCATAGGCCTTCGCCAGTGAGAAGACTTTTGGGGTCCTAAGTGAAACCTTGTATGAGCTGCTGCAGCTGGTGAGTTTCGTCCTACAAGAGCCTGTGGCACAGTTAACACTTTGCACCTGTCCTGAGTTGAGGAGGAAGTGCTGGATCTAGAGATAGAGTCCAGTCCTTAGAGATATGGTAGTCCAGGCTATAGTCTCTCGCTGCCTCAGGACTGCTTGAACTCGTCCTTTTCTTTTAATTTTAATTGTAATTCTCTTCTGCACTTCAGTCCTCCAGCCTGGGTAGATACTGCCTGCCTTCCACAAGGATTCTCTCCCTCTGCCTCTTCTCTTTCTGACCAGGGCTGGGAAGAACGACAAGAGGAAGACAACCTGCTGATTGAGCGGATCCTGCTGCTGGTCAGAAACATTCTCCATGTTCCAGCTGACCTTGATCAGGAGAAGGTATGGTCTTGGGTCATAAGAATTCTTATGCTGAGTTAGGTTAAATTGTCCCCTTTTTTTCTTTTCTTTTCTTTTTTCTGCTTTTTGAGATAGCGCAGACTGACCTTGAACTCACTTTGTAGCCCAGGCTGGCCTGGAACTCATATTAGTACACTTTTTTTTTTTGGTACTGGGGAACGAACTGGGGACCTTGTGCTTGTGAGGCAGGTGGAGGAACTACTGAGCTAAATCCCTGGCCCTGGAACTCACATTGATCCTCCTGCCTCACCCTCTCCAGTGCTATTTTATAGGTGTCTGCCACCATGCTCAGTTGAACTGTCCTTGTTAGGCTTTGCTATCTTGTAACCAGTCTGGGGCATGAGCCTTGGCCAGGATGAGTTGGAGAACTTCAAAACAGGGCTGTGGAACTGAGTGCGCTCCTTTTCTCCCCTCACCACCGACTGCTCAGAGGATCGATGATGACGCCAGTGTCCATGACCAGCTTCTCTGGGCGATTCACCTCAGTGGCCTGGATGACCTGCTCCTCTTTCTGGCCAGCTCGCCTGCCGAGCAGCAGTGGAGCTTGCATGTGCTAGAAATTATCTCCCTTATGTTTCGTGACCAGGTGAGACCCTGGGCTGTGGCCCCAGTCCCTCCATCCATGTACTTTTCTGCTACACAGCCAGACTTGGTCTTGTAACAATGGCTGAATTATCTGGGGAAGGTGGGTGATGAGTAGAGTGTCCTTGTCTTCAGTTCAGGGTCCCATCAAAGTCTTGTTTTGTTCACTCTGTCCCCAGTAGGAGTGAAATAAGGATTAGGAGTGACTATCCTTCTGACTCTCCCCTCCTTGTTACAAATCTAGAACTCTGAGCAGCTGGCAAGAGTAGGGCAGGGACGCTTAGCTCAGGAGCGGAGCACAGATGTGGCAGAACTGGAGATGCTACGCCAGCAGGAGATGGCAGAAAAGAAGGCGAGAGCCCTCCAGCGAGGCAACAGGTGTGTGGCAGAGAGCACGCTCTCTGGCTGTGTCCGTCCTGCAGCAGGGAATGCCAAACACTTGGGACCAATTCTAAGACAGTGGAGACTGGATAACATTTTAAATCTTGAACTCCCTCTGAGTTCCTGGTGAAAGAAAGTGGGCTAAAGCTTCCATATGATTGAGGAATCACTTTGGACTTTTCTCCCCTGCAGGCATTCTCGATTTGGGGGCTCTTACATTGTCCAGGGGTTGAAATCCATAGGGGAAAGGGACCTCATCTTTCACAAAGGCCTTCACAATGTGAGTATTTGCACATCTGGGGAGGAACACTGGAGCTGTAGGGCCTGAGACGGGTCACCATCCCTGGGCTCAGAGCATCTCTGTTCTTAGGTTTAGAAAGTTAGTGATGGCAGGAAAAAGAAGCGGAGTCTCTAGTGTTAGCCACATTGTCTTCACTCATGTCTTTATTTAGTACCAGAGGCAGTGAACTTTCTGAGAGTTTTTTCTGAGGAAATTGTAATGCCAGAGATGTGGCAACAGGTGCAGGGGGAAGGTGGTGGGTTAGGAGTAAGTCTAACCCCCCAACCTGCACCCTCAGCTCCAAAACTACAGTTCAGATTTGGGGAAGCAGCCCCGAAGGGTGCCTAAACGTCGCCAAGCCACCCAGGAGCTGTCCACTCAGCGTCGCTCAGCCCTTAACGTGAGGCTTTTCCTCAGAGACTTCTGCTCTGAGTTCCTGGAGAACTGTTATAACCGGCTCATGGGCGCAGTGAAGGTGAGAACTTGGGAAGACAGAGACAATCGGGGATGGCATAGGGTGGTGACCAGAGAAGTAACAGGCTAGTGCTGGGTAAAAAGAGCAACCTAGGTTGGAGCCCATGGGAGGCTGAGGCTGAATTATGGGCAAAGAAGCAGTAGGGCTCCAAGATGGTGAAGATGCCAGGAGAGGGTGGGTAGTTAGTATGAGAAAAAAGGATTCCAGAGAAGTGACCCCAGAGGAAAAGGAGGGCAATCCAGATAGACCTAAGGAGAACAAGAGAAAATTGGAAATTATGGATCCTACAGAATATTACAGTGATGTCTAGTCTTCTCCCCATCATAGGACAGGAGGAAATTGGGAACCCTGAGATCGTGATAGTCATTTTTTTCTTTAATTTTGGACATTAGGATCACCTGCTTCGTGAGAAAGCTCAGCAACACGATGAGACTTACTATATGTGGGCCTTGGCTTTCTTCATGGCTTTCAACCGAGCTGCCTGCTTTCAGCCAGGCTTGGTTTCTGAAACACTCAGTGTCCGTTCATTCCACTTCATTGAGCAGAACCTCACCAACTACTATGAGATGATGCTAACAGATCGCAAGGAAGCCAGATCCTGGGCATGCCGGTGAGGGGATGGTTATTAAGGTCGCAGGGGGCATCCAGGCCAGACTGGGAGTCTAAATACCTGAATTTTGGATGGTACTTTTTTCTTGATTCAAGGTTGAAGGAATCAGGCTGGGGAGTAAGGATTGATGGGGTCATTTGTTTCTGGTGACACTTGTTGAGGAGTAACGTTTCCATTAGCCAGTGCCCTAAATTGTCCCCCATTTCATTTCCTGGCTTCAACTCATAGGATGCACCTGGCTCTAAAGGCCTATCAGGAGCTGCTGGCCACAGTGAACGAGATGGAGATGTCCCCAGATGAGGCTGTGAGGGAGAGCAGCCGCATCATCAAAAGTGAGGCCCTGGCTGAGTCCCTGATCCCAGCCTTCCCATCTCCACTAGAATTTCATTCTTCTTAGTCCCAATTTCACTCATTTCTCCTTTTTTTCCAAGCTTTTCAGACAAGTCCTTCTATTCCTTTTTCTTTCCCCTTCTTAGACAACATTTTCTATATGATGGAGTACCGAGAACTGTTCTTGACACTCTTCCGAAAGTTTGATGAGAGATGCCAGCCTCACTCTTTCCTTCGTGACCTGGTGGAAACCACCCACCTCTTCCTCAAGATGTTGGAACGGTTTTGTCGGAGCCGTGGGAACCTGATGGTCCAGGTACTGTGCAGTTCTGGGATGTTGAAAGTGCTGTTGGGTGAAGGACAGAGGGCTTTTTCTCCTCCTTTACCAGGTAGCTTAAGTGGATAGTTAGTACTATTAATAGATAGATACTCCTGTGAACTAAGAAGGCAAGAGGTTTGTGGTGCTGCTGGTGTGAGTTTTCCAGTTTCCTTCTCCCATTAAGTTCATCCCTGATGTGCCATAAATATCTTCATTCATTCAGGAAACATTTATTGAATACCTACTGTGTGCTAAGCACATAAACTTTTAGAGATTCATAATTTTAGAGTTTAGTAATTAGTCAGCTTTCTGTTGCTGTGACAAAATGAGAAAAACAACAGAGGAAAATTTTATTTTGGCTTACAGTTTCAGAGGATCCAGTCCATGATTGCTTGGCTGTGTTGTTTTTGTGCCTGTGGTGAGGCATAGCATCATGGCAGAAGGGCTCGGGTGGACCAGAGCTGCTTACCTCATGGTAACTAGGAGAGGGGAGCATGCCAGGAACAAGATATACCTGTCCAGGGCGCACTGCCCATGCCAGGAACAAGATATACCTGTCCAGGGCACACTGTCCATGACTTACTTCCTCCAACCAGGCCCCACCTCCTACAGTTTTCTACCACCTCTCAATAGTCCATTCAATCACGAATCCATCAATGGATTAATCCATTGATGAGATCACAGCCCTTGTGATCCAGTCACTTCCCAAAAGTCCAACCTCTGAAAATTGCTGCATTGGGAACAAAGTCTTTAATACCTGAGCCTTTGGGAGACATTCCAGATCCACAGCATAACAGCAATTATACTCTCATGTTTCCTGGTTATACTTCAAAAGCATTGTGGGGAGATGGGTAGAGCCTTTGTTGAAAGTTAGGAAGACGAAGATCCAGTCCTATACTAGTTACTATCAGAATAAACTCAAGATGCTTGTGTCAGTCTCTCTAGATCCCTAAATAGGAATTATAACATGTACCTTAGCAACTTCACCAGACCTTGTCTCAGAAGTAAAAAAAGGGCTGGAAATGTAGCTCAGTATGAAGGTCCTGGATTCAATCCCCAGTACTGGGGGAAAAAATATCTACCCCTGAGTCTGAAATGAAATAAATGAAAAGCCTACAAGGCTGGGCATGGTGGCACATCCCTATAATCCCAGCACTTGGGAGGCTGAGGCAGGAGGATCACTGCAAGTTTGAGGGCAGCCTGGGCTACATAGTGAGACCAAAGCCAGTTTAAACTACATAGTGAGACCCTGTTTAAAAAAAAAAGGTCGGGGATTTAGCTCAGTGGTTTCGCTGCCTGCTGCACAAGTGCAAGGACCCAAGTTCAATCCCTGGTACCAAAAAGAAAAAAAAAAAAAAGCCTACAACAAAAAGAACTTTCCAAGAAATTTGTATTCTGGAGACAAAGGGACTCTGCTTTGTAAAAATAAATTTTGTCCCAGAACCTTCCTATAATTCTAGTTGCTGCAGCTTAAAATTCTGTCTGGGGCCGGGGATTTAGCTCAGTGGTTTCACCGCCTGCTGTGCAAGTGCAAGGACTCGAGTTTGATCCCCGGTACCAAAAAAAAAAAAATTCTGTCTGGCCAGATGTGGTGCACATCTGTAATCCCAGCACTCAGGAGGCTGAGGCAGGAGGATTGCCATGAGTTTGAGGCTAGCCTGAGCTACATAGTGAGTTCAAAGCCAGCGTGAACTGCATAGAGACCTTGTCTCAAAAAATAAAGTAAAATTAAATTAAATTAAATTCTATCTGAACTGGACTTGAAAGAGGCAGCAATACTCAGATTTTGTTAAAAGGTATTTTTACACTCAGGGCTGTATGATATTGTCAATAATAATAGGCATTTATTCACGGTTTTCTGTGTATCAACACAGTGCTAAAGTTTTCATGTAAACCCCACTACAGTGTTAGGACAACTGCATAAAGTGAACAAACAACATACCCAGAACCTTGTTAGTAAATGGCTAGCATCAGTGGTACCTTGGTTCATGAACTTCATTCTTTCCATGATTCTGGTCTTAAACCGAATTGGATGAGAAGGAAATCATTATTTTCCCACAAGGTCAACATTGAACCTAACCATTGAATTTGATTCTGTTCTCGTCCAGTTCAGTTTGTGACCAGAATCATGGAAAGAATTAAGTTTGTGAACCGAGATACTACTGTACTCGAGTCCCAATCACTAGACTCCAAGCCTCATGCTCCTCCGATGGGTGTGTTTGACCATAAGTTTCTCAACAGAGCATGAACCCCAAGGGCTCCCCATCCAGCCATCCTATTTGAGTTTTGAGCACCCAGACAAAAGACTGGTTTGGAGCTGTGACTGGTGGGAGGAGGAGTAGGGGGTTGATTTACCTTTTGCTTTTGTTGTGTTTTGGTTTTTTGAGACAGGGTCTCACTGTGTAGTCCAGGCTGGGCTCAAACTCATAGCAGTCCTCCTGCTTCAGCCTCCCTAGTGGTGGGATTAGAGACGTGCATCACCAGCCTTGCTCTTGATTTTCAAGAAAATATTTTGCCTTTTACAGAGTCTTTTCATGTATCTTATTTGATTCTCATACCAAATTTGTTGATCCCATAGACTTCTTAAGATATTGCCACTTTTAGCAAACTCTTACTCTAAGAAACAGATATTTTAAATGGCAGGGTATTTATGCTTATTCACATTGCTCTTACATGCTGTAATGTAATTTCCTTTTGACTTACTTGTGTCTCCAACTAGAGTGCAAGCTTTTTAGGGGCAAAGAAATACACTGTTCATTGCTTCCCACTGCCTGTGAGCAGCACATATGGGCACTTTGTAAATGGCTGCTTAACTAGTTTTATCACAGCAACAACATTGAGGGGAGAAGACTTCCTTAGCTCTCTTGCCATCCTCATACAGTTCTTTTTCCCTGCAGAACAAACAAAAAAAGAGAAAGAAGAAGAAAAAGATTCCCAACCAGACTGTAGCTTCTGGTAATGTCCCATATAGTCCAGAGGAGCTGGAGGCTTTGTGGCCAGACCTGGCTGAACGGCTGCAGTGCTGTGTCCAGGTAGGTGGTTGCAAAAACTCCAGCTTTTTGGGGCTACTGATATGGGTAGACAATCTTGGCTCTCTTTGCCTCTGCTCCTATAGCCTTATCCATCTCTAGGATCCTGAGCTCAGTGTAGACTCCATGGTTCCCTTTGATGCTGCCTCAGAGATGCCAATAGAGGAACAGCGGGTGGAAGCCATGGTGAGGATCCAAGACTGTCTCCTGGCTGGCCAGGCTCTGCAGGCTCTGACTCTCCTGAGATCCGCCCGGTGAGAACTGTGCCCAGCACCCTTCCAGGCCTTGGGAGCCTTCACTTCGGTACAGGTTCTCAGTCTTCAGCAGAGAGAAGTCCCTGGGACCCAGGACTGAGCACTGACTTCTGGGAGCTTTGATTGGCTTGTTGGAGTTTTTGGGTTTGTTTTTGAGAAATATTAGCACAGATAATTCTACTAGCCAAAGATAATCATCATTACCATTTTGATGAGTAATCTTCCAGAGCCTGTTATCTATAGATGTACACACACACACCTCCTTTTACAAAAATGGAAAGTGCATGTGCTGACTCATAGTATTTTTTTTAACTTCTCAGTATATCTCAAGCATCATTTCTCATCACTTACATTTCTGTAATTGTTAATAAATTTCAGACACCACTGTATACATACATACATTTGCTGAACTCCGTGTCAACATTTAGATTGTTTGAGCTTTGTTCTTACATGATTTTCACTGCAGTGTGGCTTATGAGGAAAACTTTCCCTGGAGCCTGTTTCATCCTGTAGTGACAGTTTGGATTCTCTTTCTGAATGACAAATGAAATATATCTAAGTTCCTTCTCCCAATTCTAATTACAATTCCTATTTCCTGTAGTTAAAGCCTTTTTCTCTGTCCTCCAGGGAAGTGTGGCCAGAAGGTGCTGTATTTGGCTTTCCAGACATTTCCCCTGAGGAGGAGATGCAGCTGCTGAAACAGATCCTCTCTGCTCCACTTCCTCGTGAGTCTATTTCTTTGCATCTCTCTTGTTTCAACTGTGTTCCAGCACCAGTGTAATAGAGACCCAGTAGTTCTCAATGTTTTTTTTTTCCCCCCACAGTACTGGGATTGTACCAAGGGCTTTTACCCTAAGCTACATCCTCAGCCCTTTTTTAATTTTGAGAGAGGGTCTCACTAAGTTCCAGGTTGGATTCAAATTTGAGATCCTCCTGCCTCGCCCTCTCAGAGTGCTGAGGTTACAAGTGTGTGCCAACCATGCCTGGCTAATCGTCAGTCTTTGTATAGGGGTGCAGGGAACAGAGGAAGGAGGTGCAGAAGAAGAAGAGGAGGAGGAGGAGAAAGAAGAGGAGTTGCAAGTTGTGCAGGTGTCGGAGAAAGAGTTTAACTTTCTGGACTACCTGAAACGGTGTGCACTAAGCCTGAGTTGGTCCCAGGGTGGTGATTGTGGAGCTGTGAGGATGAATAGTGTTTTTGTGATGCTGACCTCCTCTCCTTTCCCGTTTTGGTGCAGCTTTGCATGCTCAACCATTGTTCGAGCCTATGTGCTGCTGCTGCGGAGCTACCGGCAGAACAGCGCCCATACTAACCACTGTGTGGTCAAGATGCTACACCGGCTGGCCCATGACCTCAAAATGGAAGCCCTGCTTTTCCAGCTCTCAGTCTTCTTCCTTTTCAATCGTCTGCTTAGTGACCCTGCTGCGGGAGCCTACAAAGTGAGAGGCTACCTGGGAATGGGGCTGGGGGCTGGGGATGATCTTTGGGAGGTGTCAAGGCTGGGAGATGAGAACATGGCTGGCAGGCAAGTTGAGGGAGCTGCCTGAGGAAGAGCAGAAGAGAGTGTCTGGGCAGAGGGCAGCTGGGAACAGGTAGAAAGAAAAGACCCGGAGCCTTTTGTACCTGTTTGGGCTGACGTGTCATAGCAGCCTTCCTTCCTTGTAGGAGCTCGTGACTTTCGCCAAATACATCCTCGCCAAGTTCTTTGCATTGGCCACAGTCAATGAAAAAGCCTTTGTGGAGCTGCTGTTCTGGAAGAACACAGCTGTAGTTCGAGAGATGACTGAGGGCTATGGCTCCCTGGATGGCGGGTGAGCTGGGGATGGGGAAGGATGGGCTGAGGGCAACTGAGAGTCAAAGGGTGAGAGCTGGAAGGGCTTGCAGATCATCTGATGTAGTGTTTCTTTCCCTTTCACCGGTGAGAAACAGGCCCAGGAGGTGAAATGCTTACCTAAGTTTCCCCAACAGAGGAACAGGAACTATAGCCTAAGTCTCCTGTCTACTCCAGTTTCCTTCTCTGTTACCAGAGTTAGAGGTGGTTGGTGGGAGTGGGGTAACCCACCCCCTGAGTTTGTGTGTGCCCTCTCTGGTAATGTGCTGGGAAACCATAAGGATTCACAGAAATGTTTGTCCCTTTCCTGTAGTATTTCAGCTTCTCTGTTTCCCATAACACTGCAGTCCTGTAACTGACTCTGTAACTAATGAATTATCTATCTCACTTTTCTTGTTCCTTTCTGAACTGATCACAGATGGCCTTTGGTCTGCTCTCTTTGAGCTGACAGCCTACATACACTGCTTTCCCTTTCACTGTTCAGGTCTTCTGGTTGCCGAGCCGCTGCATGGAGCCCAGAAGAGGATGCCCAGCTTCAGGAACTGTACCTCACCCATAAGGATGTGGAAGGTGTGAGTCCTTGAGAGCCGAGGACTTTATGAGGAGAGGAGCCTGAGCTCCCAGACTCCTCTTTACTGCTTCAGTTCCTCTCCACCGCAGATCAAGATGTGGTAGAAGCCATCCTGGCACGCCTGAGTACTGCTCGAACACGCAAGCAGGTCATCTGCCATCTGGTACAGCTGGGACTGGCTGACAGTGTCAAGGACTTCCAAAGGTAGAGGCTTCTGTTTTGGAGGGAATGGGGATGGGGAATCTTCAGTTCACTCCTTGGACCTCCTCTTCTACCAACACCTCCCTCAACAGGAAAGGGACCCATATCATATTGTGGACAGAAGACCAGGAGCTAGAACTGCAGCGGCTTTTTGAGGAGTTCCAGAACTCAGATGGTAAGTGAGGTGGAAGCTCAGAATAGCTGAGATGAGAGCCAAGCTGTCTGCTTCTTTATCCCCTTCCTCTTATTTCCAGGAAAAGCTTATCCCATCCTTTCTGTCCACTTGCTATATTTGTATCATTTGGGGTAGGTTGAGCTAGCATCTCTCCAGAGACCTGAATTTCCTTTACCAATCCCTTTCTCTAGTTGCTCTTGGGTATTCACACAATTCCTCTCCATAGATGTCCTTGGTCATATCATGAAGAATATCACAGCCAAACGCTCACGGGCTCGAGTAGTGGATAAACTGCTGGCTCTGGGGCTGGTGGCTGAGCGGCGGGAGCTGTACAAGAAACGGAAGAAGAAGTTGGCACCCTCCAGCATGGTAACAGTCTCAGCCTGGCTCTGCTGGCCTGGTCCCATTCCCCCTGAAGTGCTCTTAGGAGCAGCCCACCCAGATCTCTCCTGCCTCAGGCTATTCTGAGGAGGTCCCTCCAGAGGGGGTGGTCAGCAGCCAGCAGACTCCACCACATTCCTCATGTTACCTCCTTTTCATCTTCCCACCACCCAATAAATTGCAGCCGGATGGAGATGAGTTTCTGAAAGATTTTTGGCAAGATCCAGAAGAGGAAAACTTGCCAGAGGAAGAGAGTGAAGAGGAAGAGAAAGAGGAGTCCTTGGAACCAGAACAAGCCCACAGTAGCTCAGTTCTCTCAGCTGAAAACTTTGGTCAAGGCCTGCATCAGGAAGGTGAGGACGTCGGTTGAGAGAGATGGAGGGTTGGGATGGGAGTTTGAACCAAATATGTTTCCCCTTTTCCCTCAGGCTTTTCTGCCCCCCTGCTGTGGCTCCAAAACTGCCTGATTCGAGCAGCAGATGACCGAGAAGAGGATGGTGAGTGGGGAGAATGATGGTTTCAGAGGACTGGAGTTCTGGAGTCCACTGGACTGGCTTGTAGGATGGAGGGCCAGTTCTTTCTCACATCTTTACCATGTGACTGTTGGCCTCTTCTAGGTTGCTCCCAGGCAGTTCCATTGGTGCCATTGACTGAAGAAAATGAGGAAGCAATGGAAAATGAACGGTTTCAGCAGCTGTTGCTCAAGCTAGGGATTCGGCCCCCTGCCTCTGCACAGGCACGTCCCTGGTTAGAGTGTCAGCCAAGGCAAATTGGTCCAGATCGCCTCACCGCTATTGAACTTGCTATCTCCGTATTGTCCTCTGTCCTCTGTCCTCCTCACTGTTATCTTGTCATTTCAGATCCAGAGCCCTACAGCAGCTGTCCTGCTAGTCTTCCTCTCTGCAATCTCCCTTTCCCCCAAATCCATGTTCTATACTGCCCCCTAGATGTGTTTTTTTGGTTTTTTTTTTTGGTACCTGGGATCGAACTCGCAACCTTGGGCTTGGGAGGCAGGTGCCGGAACCACTGAGCTAAATCCCCGGCCCTAGATTTATCTTTTGAAAAATCTTATCTCCCCTCCCACTGCACTCCCCATACGTCTTTCTAAAGTATTTTTCATGAGATCACTAGCTCATCTAAAGCACTTGTGGTCCACAATCAGATGGCATGCCAACCTTTATGGACTGTTGGCCATCCTACCACACACCTACTTTACACCTGAGCAGTTATCCTTCACATAGTAGGCTGTAAACAATAACTGTGCCAAGTCCTCTTTTCGAAAGCTCCACCCATACTAGTGAAGCAATAAGTACACCCGTGCACTTGCACATGCACGCATGAACACACGCATGCTTGCACCTCACTCATCTTCCTGCTGAACCTCCACCCAAGAGTCAGCTCAGTTGTCATTTCCTCAGAGAGGGAAGGTTAACCCTGAAATAAAAGTAATCCTTTGGTATACCTGTAATCCCAGCATTCCAGAGGCTGAGGCAGGCGGATCACAAGTCCAAGGATAACTTGGGCTACACAGTGAGTTCAAGGCCAACCTGGACTACTTAGAATCTATCTCAAAAAAAGCATTTTTCAAAAAAACAATATCGCTGGGAATTTAGCTCAGTGGTTCCGCTGCCTGCCTCACAGCACAAGGTCTCGAATTCTATCCCTGGTACCAAAAACCAAAAGCAACAGAGGAAGGACAGAAATACACATGTACTTCCAGGTACCAAAAAAAGAAAAAAATACACATGTGCAAGTTCCACGGCCAAAGCCTTGGTCTGGCCCCTTCATTTATTCCTTTGATGTAGCCTTAATCCAACGGTGTTACTGCCCATTCATTCTTTCTCTTGTTAGATTATGAGTTCCTTGAGAACAAAGATCATATGTGGCTTAACTTTAGATCACCAGATCCATTCATTTGTTTAGTTAACAGCTGTATTTACTGGGAACTTTTTTTTTTTTTTGTACCAGGGATCAACCTCAGGTTCTTGCACTTTGGAGCCAGGCGGCAGAACCACTGAGCTAAATTCCCAGCTGGGAACCTCTTAATGTAGTAGACACTGTGCTAGACAGTGGTTATATATTATAGATAAACAAGAAGTAGAATTCACAACCCTTGTGGATCTTCAGTAATGTGGGGTCATAGCCAACGAAAAATATAAAAATTGTGAATAGAGGGTGGTTCTTTCCCTTTGCTGTCATTTTCTTTCTCTCCCTCTCTTTTTTTTTTTTTTGGAGAGGGTGGCAATACTGGGGATTGAACCCAGGGCCTTCACACCAAACTACATCCCCAGGCCTTTTTTATTTTTTATTTTGAGACAGAGTTATGCTAGTTGCCCTGGCTGGGATTGAATTTATGATCCTCCTCCCATAGCCTCCTAGAGTGCTGAGATTATGGATGGGCACACCATGCCTGACCCCTTTGCTGTCATTTTCAATTGCTTTGCCCCTGTAGGAAACCTTCTGGCGAATCCCAGCCAAGCTGAGCCCCACCCAGCTCCGCAGAGTGGCAGCTTCTTTGAGTCATTCAAAGGAGGAGGAAGAAGAGGAGAAGCTACAGCCAGAATTAGAGCTGAGCATCCCCAGAGAGCAAGAACCTAGTGAGGAGGACCAGCAAGAGAATCAGGCAGAAGCCCTCAGGGCCCTCTTGCTAGCTCGTAAAAAGAAAGCAGGACTAGCATCCCCGGAAGGTAAAGTATGACTGCTCACCTATTGATGACTTATTTGTGCCAGCCATAGTGGAGGTTTGGAGGGATGAGAAGATACTTTGAGAATATGCAGGCCAGGTTCCCCAATTTTGTGCCTCTTCTACTTACTTTAGAGGAAGAAACTGCTGGTGGGAAAGAGCAGCTGAAGATGGTGCCTAAGAAGCGAAAACTGCTGGACAGTGAGGAGGAGGAGGAGGGAGATGAGGGCAGAAGCAAAGGTAGTGAGTCTGATTGTGATCTGCTTTTTCTTCTAATCTCTGCCTTCATTCTGAAGACAAACTATCATCTGTTTCCCTTACCATAGTCAGATATTCTCTCTCATCCCTACTGTTCCCACAGCATCAGACCTAGGAGCTCCAGTAATCCAAAAGAAGAAGCGGTATCAGATTGAGGATGAAGATGAGAACGACTGAAGAGCCACAGACCTAGGGGTAGAGATAGATTTGATTTTACATGGTAAATTTAAGTCAGAGTTGGGAGGACCCAGATCTATTCTTAGTGGAATGCATACAGTAGGGTTCTGGGCTCTTCTATAGATTAAGGGCCCAGGAATTTTTAATCACCAGTGTTGGAGGGACCTTTTGCAGTCAGTCCTGTTTCTCTCAGTTTTGTTTTGTATTGGTGGTGCTGGGATTGAACACAGGACCTCCCGCATGCTAGATAAGTACTCTACCACTGAGCTACATCCCCAGGCCATCTTTCCCCAATTTTATCATTATGCTCCAGAAGCGCTCTGGAAACTGACTTCTGACTTCTTTTCTAGGAACCTTTTTTTCTTTTTTTGGTTACTACACCCTCTTAGCAAATAAGAGGAGGGAGTAAAACATAGAAGGTACCCTGGACCCCTTCCTTGGTCAGTTGATTGGTTTGTTTGTTTTGTGGTACTGGGGATTGAACCAGGGCTTGCACGCTAGACAAGCATTCTACCACTCAGCGACACCCCCAGTTTCCTTCGTTGGTCTGCCCCTGTCGACTTTTCTGCTAGAGATGGGGGCTTTACCATCAACACTAGATGAGGGGCTTTACCATAATGCATCAGAGTTTTGCACTGTTTTTAGAAGGCACTTTGGTTTCCTTCTTCCTATTTTTGTTTCCAGTGATCATCCCCTAGTTATCAGATTGAGCCCAGTTCCTGGAGTTGAGGTAGAGTTAAGATGGAATATTTGTCAGATGATGAATGTATTTGCTTTCTGTTTGGTGTTAAATTAAACATGTAAAATTAACAGTTGCTGACCTCAGTTTCACTTGCCAATCTAAGTTCCCCAACCATCCACCTGCTGTGGTTTTGGAAGAACTTTAAAATATGGTTAAAAGAGACCACCAGCCCTCTCTTTTCTTGTTTCACTACAGAAAACTGTTCTATCTTCAAGAACCTTCAAGTTGCTGGGTGTTGTGCTCCACACCTATAATTCCAGCACTGTGGAGGCTGAGACAGGAGGATCACTTTGAGTTTAAGGCCAGCCTGGGCTACATAGTGAGTTCAAGGCCAGTCTGAACTACAAAACAAGACACTGTCTCAAAAAAAAAAACTTTTTATGGAAGCTTCATAACATAAGCATGACTGATTAAATCATTGGCCATTGGTTTATCAGTTCAAACTTCAGCCTTCAGCCTGTCTCCCTTTTGGGAAGTCAAGGGTGGAAATGGGACTGAAAGTTCCAATTTTCTGATCATGTGGTTGGTTCCCGTGGCAACCAGGCCCCATCCTGAGACTGTATGGAGGTCCCCAGCCACCAGTCATCTCATTAGAACTCCCATCATTCCCCAGATTCCAAGGACTTTAGGAGGTATATGTCAGGAAGTGGAATGAAAATGTATATTTCACAGGGCTGGAGATTTAGCTCAGTGGCACCGCGCTTGTCTCACAAGCACAAGGTCCTGAGTTCGATCCCCAGTACCCCCCCCAAAAAAAACCCCACAGTATTTCAATCCTTTTCTCACTGTCTTAATGACATAATTCATTATCATATCCTTTGTCCTTAAATCAACTCTTTGGATATTAATAAAGTCATTTCAGCTTTCTCTTTTTTTTTTTGGTACTGGAGATCGAACTCGGTCGGGTCCTTGGGCTTGTGCAGCAGTCAGTGAAACCATGGAGCTAAACCCCGGCCCAGCTTTCTCTTGATTAGTGCTACCATGGTACAGCTTTTTCTTTTCATTTTCAGCAATAGTGGAGATCAAACCCAAGACCTCCTGTAAGTACTCTACCACTGAGCTATATTCCTAGCCTTTAAAGTGAGTTTCTTGTAGAAACCATGTAGTTGGATTGTTAAATCCAATTTGGATAAAAGCTTTTAATTTGAGTGTTTAGACTATTTAAACTTAATACAATTATTGATGTAATCAGGGTTTTTTTGTGTTTTTGACTCTGGTTTTTTTTTGTTTTTGTTACCAGGGATCAAACTTGGTCCTTCCTCTTGCAAGGCAGACGGTGGAACCACTGAGCTAAATCCCTGGCCCCATTTTTTGCCTCTTTGTGAAGTGGGGAGGATTTGGTGCTGGGGACTAAACCTAGGGCTTTGTGTATGCTAAACATGTACTTTACCACTGAGGCATAACCCCAGCCCGGCCCTAGGTTTTTAAAGTTTTTTAACTGATCCATAAAAACAAAAATTATACATAATAATGGGGTACTGTGTAATGATGTGGTATACAAAGTATGATTGAAAAACATGCCCTTGATGATACAACCCACTTCCGTCCCCCCCCCCGCCCCGCAATGCACTTTGAACCTAAGAGCTTCACACTGAGCTACATTCTTCATCCCCCCATCCCTTTGTAGTTTAGAAACCAGATCTTGCTAAATCGTCTAGAATTTACTCTGTTGCCAAGGCTGGCCTTGAACTTGCAGCAATCCTCCTGCTTCAGCCTTCCAAGGGTTGAGATTATAGGTATGCACCACCACACCGGGCTTTGAATTAGGGTTTATAGTATACATCTTTAATTTAATAATCTACTTCCAAGTGATATTTATGCTACTTTACATAAGAGCACAATGTGAGAAATTCACCAGTACACTGCTGTTCTTCTTCCAGTATTTCTGCTCTTAACACATTTTTGCATTTACACATTATGTTCCCTATACTGGATTATTTTGGCCCTAAATAGTCTATTACCTCTTTAAAACAAAAACATTTGCCCACATAATTATGATTTTTTAATGTTCTTCATTCTTGTTTTTTTTGGTACCGGGGATTGAACTCGGGTCCTTGCGCTTGCCAGGCGTTCTTCATTCTTTTGTACACATATTTCCACTAGAAGTCATTTTCCTTCTACCTGAGGACTTCTAACATTTCTTACAGTCCAGGTCTGCTGGTGATGGATTCTTTCAGCTTTCAAATGTTTTTGGATTTTTTTCTTTAATGTAAATTTCACATAACATAAATTCATTATTTAAAAAATGTACAATGCTGGGCATGGTGACACACCTATAGTCTTAGCACTCAGCAGGCTAAGGCAGGAGGATTGCTGTGAGTTCAAGGCCAGCCTGAACTACATTGTGAGACCCTATCTCAAACAACAACAACAGAAAAATTAGTTTGCCAAATGTGGATGTGTTTACCTAGCTACTCAGAAGACTGAGCAGGGATCTCAAATTCAAGGTCATCCTGAGCAATCCTCTCAAAAAATAGAGGACTAGGGCCAGGGATTTAGCTCAGTGGTTCTGCCACCTGCCTCAGAAGTGCAAAGACCCGAGTTCGATCCCCAGTACCAAAAAAGAAAAATAGAGGACTAGAGTATGGCTCAGTACTCTCTGGTTTTAATCCCCAGTGCTAAGGAAAAAAAGTCTCAGGAGATGGGTGATGTGGTACACAACTCTATCCCAACACTCAGGAAGCTGAGGCAGGAGAAACTAAAGTTCAAGGCCAGCCTGGACTACATAACAAGACCCTGTCTCAAGCAATAAAAAAAGAACTGTGCAATTCAGTGGCTTTTAGTATATTCACAATTTTTTGCAACCACCACTACTGTAATTTCAGAACATTTTCATTACTCCAAAAAGAAATGCTATACCTATCATGTTGAAAAATCTTTGATCTTGCCAAGTGTGATGGCTCATGCCTATGATCCCAGCACTCTGGGAGGCTGAGGCAGGAGATCACAAGTTCGAGCCCAGCTTACTTAACTTAGTGATTTACTGAGTCTCTGTTTCAAAAAATAAAAAGGAGGGGTTATAGCTTGGTGTAAAGGCTTTGAATTGAATCCCCAGTATTGAAGAAAAACAAAAAAAACTGGTCTTTCACTTGGTTCCTGGGTTTATTTGGGCTTTTTAATACCATGCAGCTATTGATTTCCCATATACCAAAGGAGACCTTTTGGAATGGAGGTTGGCATTCCCAGAAAGGAGTTGATTCCCTCCCTTTTATATTCTTCCACCCTGCTGGACTTAACATCTCTTTTTCTTGACTTTTTTTTTTTTTTTTTGGTACCGGGTCTCCAACTTGGGACCTTGCGCCTGCAAGGCAGGCGCTGGAACCACTGAGCTAAATTCCTGGCCTTTCTTGACTTTGAGACAAGGTCTCGCTGTGTAGTCCAGGCTGGCCTTGAACTCTCTTTGTAGCACAGGCTATATACGCAGTTCTTAAAAACTGATAAATAATATCCAGACATGGTCATGCAATTCTATAATCTCAGCACTATGGGAGGCCGAGGTAGGAAGATTGCAAGTTCAAGCCCAGCCTGGAAAATTTAGTGATTTAGAGAGACATTGTCTCAACATAAAAACAGGCTGCAGATATAGCTCAGTGCAAAGGTTGTGGATTCAGTCCCTAGTACCACAAACAATAACAACAAACATCACTGATAGTTAATAGCTGGGCATGGTGGCACACTCCTATCATCCCAGCACTCTTGAGAGTGTGTGGCAGGTGGATCACCAGTTTGAGCACAGCCTAGGCAATTTAGTGACTTAGTGAGACCCTGTCTCAAAATTTAAAAAAAAAATTTTTTTTTTTAATTTAAAAATTAAAATGTGATGAAGATGTAGCTCAGTGCAAAGGGTTCAATCTCCAGTAGTTGGCGGGGGGTGGGGGGGATTGAGAATGATTTTTATGGGGTGGGGGGATTGAGAGTCTCTCACCATACAATTCAGGCTGGCCTTGAACTCACTATGTATCCTAGACTGGCCTCAAACTCACGTCAATCCTCCCGCCGCAGCCTTGAAAGTGCTGGGGTTGCAGGGTTGTGCCACCACGCCTGGCTACTGTGGCATTTTGTATGGCGTCCTTGTAGACTTATATACTTGGTATGTGGTTTTTTTTCATCTATTTCCAGTACTCTTGTGAGGTTGTTTTCTCATTTCCCTTTTTTAGTTCGGTTTTTTTCTTTTTTTATATACATCTCCCCTCCCCTGCCCCAGTACTAGGAATCAAACTCAGGACCTTGCACTTATTTGCCAGGCAGGTGCAGCACCACTGAGCTACATCCCCAGCCCTTTAGTTTAGTTATTATTATTGTTATGGGAAAAACACAAAATACACCATCTTAACCATTTCTAAGTGTAAGATTCAGTAGTGTTAAGTATGTTTATGTTGTGCAAGCAATCTCCAGAACTTTTTCATCATGAAAAACTAAAACTCCTGTCAGCCACTATAGCCCCTTCTAGTGACCACCTTCCAGCCGCTTCTAGCTGCTGACCACCCTGAAACCACTCTGTGAACAGTGCCGTCCTGAACCAGCTCCAGGCCGCTGGCCAGCTGGGGTCTGAGCCCAGGGAATGGTGCTCTGGCCCACAGAGGAGACTGGATAGGTTCTCAAATTCTGGGAGTCTCAAATTGCTCCTCTACAGGGACAGCCTGGAAAAGTCAGGGTGGACCCCTCAATGTGGTGATGAGGTATTGCTGCAGGTGAAGCATCCTTGTAGGTGTCATGTTGTGGCCACAGGTAGTGTGGCCAGGTGTCACAGGTGTTGAGGGTCATGGAGGAAGATTGAGGGTTTGTAGACACCTATGTTGCCTAAATGTGAATTCCTTGCCCAAAACAGCTGTAGATGTGACCAAAGATGCCACTGACGTGCACATCTGAAGCCATAGGCATGAATGCAGCATCCAGGTGTGGATGGGTGGGCACAGGCTTGACCCACAGAGTCATGAGGGGAAAGGCCACATGGAGGGGACTGGCTGAAGGGGGTTGACTATAAACTTCAGGTCAGGGGAAAATGAAACCTAAACTACTCCCTGGCTTGGGTGTCATCCCACCAACCCTGGCCCAAACCCCACCTCTTCC